TCTCACACCAGGCAGAATGGCTATTATTAAAAAGTAAAAAAATAAAATAACAGATGCTGGTGACATTGTAGAGAAAAAGAAACACTTATTCACTGTCGGTGGAAGTGTAAATTAGTTCAACCATCGTGGGAAACAGTGTGCTGATTTCCCAGAGACCTAGGATATTATCCAGGAGAACTTCCCCAATCTAGCAAGACAGGACAACATTCAAATTCACGAAATACAGAGAACACTACTCTGTTACTCCTTGGGAAGAGCAACCTGAAGACAACAATCATCAGATTCTTCAAGGTTGAAACAAAAGGAAAAATGTTAAGGGCAGCCACAGAGAAAGGTCAGGTTACCTACGAAGGAGAGCCCATCAGACTAACAGCGGATCTCTCTACACAAACCCTACAAGCCAGAAGAGAGTGGGGGCCGATATTCAACATTCATAAAGAAAAGAATTTCAACCCGGAATTTCATGCCCAGCAAAACTAAGCTTCGTAAGGGAAGGAGAAACAAAATCCTTTCCAGGACAGCAAATGCTGAGGGAGTTTGTCACCGTCAGGCCTGCCTTACAAGAGCTCCTGAAGGAAGTACTAAATATGAAAAGGAAAAACCAGTACCAGCCACTGAAAAACAAACAAAAATATAAAGACAATGACACTATGAAGACACTGCATCAACTAATGTGCAAAGTAACCAGCTAGCATCATGATGACAGGATCAAATTCACACATAACAATATTAATCTTAAATGTGGAGACTGGCACACTGGATAAAATGTCAAGACCCATCGGTGTGATACATACAGAAGACCCATCTCACGTGCAAAGGACACACAGGCTCAAAATAAAGGGATGGAGGAATATTGACCAAGAAAATGGACAGCAAAAGAAAAGCAGGGATTGAAATCCCAGTCTCTGATAAAACAGACTTTAAATCAACAAAATACAAAATTAGCTTGGCATGGTGGTGCACGCCTGTAATCCCAGGTACTAGTGTGGTTGAGGCAGGAGAATCACTTCAAACAGGGAGGCAGAGGTTGCAGTGCGCGGAGACCATGCAACTGCACTCCAGCCTGGGCAACAGACTGAGACTCTATCTCAGAAAACAAAACAAAACAAAAAATAATACCATTGAAAAGTGGTCCAAGGACAGGAACAAACACATTTAAAAAAAGACATGCATGCGGCCAACAAGCATATGAAATAAAGTTCAAAGCCACTGATCATTAGAGAAGTTCAATTCAAACCACAATGACATATCATCTCCCACCAATCAGAATGGCTATTATTAAAAAGTAAAAAATAAAATAAAATTTAAAAAATAACAGGTGCTGGTGATGTTGTGGAGAAAAAGAAACACTTAATCACTGTTGGTGGAAGTGTACATTAGTTCAACCATTGTGGGAAACAGTGTGCTCATTCCCCAGAGACCTAAAAACAGAACTACCATTCGATCCAAGCAATCCCATTACTGGGTATACAGTCAAAGGGATAGAAACTGCTCTGTTATAAAGACACATGCACACATATGTTCACTGCAGCACTATTCACAATACCAAAGACATGGAATCAACCAAAAAGCCCATCAATGGTAGACTGGATAAAGAAAATGTAGTACATATATACCACGGAATAGTATGCAGCCATAAAAACGAATGACACTATCTCTGTTGCTGGAATAAGGATGGAGGTGGAGGTCATTATACTTAGGAAAGCAAAGCATGAACAGAAAACTAAATACTGTATGTTCTCACTTATAAGTGGGAGCTAAAAATGAGAAAACATCAACACACAGAGGAAAACAACAGACACTGGGGCCTACCAAAGACTGGAGGATGGGAGGAGGGAGAGGATCAGGAAAAATAGCTCATGAGTACCAGGCTTAATACCTGGGTGACAAAATAATCTGTACAACAAACCCCCATGACACAAGTTCACTTGCATAAGAAACCTGCACCACATGTATGCCTGAACTTAAAAGATACAAAAAGAATAAGAAAAAATAGATTTCAAAACAAAAACTTTGAGAAGACACTAAAAGGTCACTATATAATAATAAAGGGGTCAATTCATCAAGAGGACATTAACAATTTTAAATATATATGCACGCAACACTTGAGCACCCAGATATATAAAACAAATGCAATTAGAGCTGAAGAGAGAGACAGGCCCCAATAAAATAATAGATGGAGACTTCAGCACCCCACATTCAGTACTGGAGAGATCTGCCAAACAGAAACTCAACAACAACAACAACAACAAAAACAAACAAACAAACAAAAAAACAGAGTTAATCTGCACTACAGACACATAGATCTAATAGATATTTACAGAACATTTCATCCAACGGCCACAGAATACACATTCTTTTCCCCAGCACATGGATCATTCTCAAGGACAAGACGATATGTTAGGTCTCAAAACATTAAAAAAAAAAAAAAACCTGAAATAATATCTTGGATCTTGTCAGACCACAGTGGCATAAAACTAGAAATTAGTAACAAGAGGAATTTTGGAAACTATACAAATACATGAAAACTGAATAGGGGAAGCTCGAGCTGTTGTGGGGTCCGCGCGGGAGTCGGGGTGGCAGAGCCATGGTCAGGCAACTGAGTGAGGGGGCCATTGCGACCATCATGCAGCAGGGGGATACATCCATAAAGCCCATCCTCCAAGTCATCAACATCCCTCCCATTACTATGGGGAATAGTCCTCCATGTTATCGACTGCTTGTGAGTGATGGATTGAACCCTCTATCCTCTTTCATGTTGGCAACACAGTTGAACCCGCTTGTGGAGCAAGAACAACTGTCCAGCAACTGTGTTTGCCAGATTAACTGATTTATCGTGAACACTTTGAAAGACGGAAGGAGAGTAGTTATTTTGATGGAATTAGAAGTTTTGAAGTCCGCTGAAGCAGTTGGAGTAAAGATTGGCAATCCAGTGCCCTATAATGAAGGACACGGGCAGCCACAAGCAGCTCCTCCAGTGTCAGCAGGCAGCCCAGCGGCAAGCAGCAAGCCCCAGCACTAGCACGGAAGCTCCGGAGCGGGTTCCACTGTTTCTAAGGCTTATGGTGCTTCAAAGACATTTGGAAAAGCTGGAGGTCCCAGCCTGTCAAACACTTCTGGGGGAACACAGTCCAAAGTGGTGCCCATTGCCAGCCTCACTCCTTACCAGTTCAAGTGGACTATTTGTGCTCATGTTACCAACAAAAGTCAGATCTGTACCTGGAGCAATTCCCGAGGGGAAGGGAAGCGTTTCTCTCTGGAACTGGTTGATGAAAGTGGTGAAATCAGAGCTACAGCTTTCAACGAGCAACGAGCAAGTGGACAAGTTCTTTCCCCTTATTGAAGTGAACAAGGTGTATTATTTCCCAAAAGGCACCCTGAAGATTGCTAACAAACAGTTCACAGCTGTTAAAAATGACTTCGAGATGACCTTCAATAACGAGACTTCCGTCATGCCCTGTGAAGACGGCCATCATTTACCTACGGTTCAGTTTGATCTCACGGGGATTGATGACCTGGAGAACAAGATGAAAGACTCACTTGTAGAAATCATGGGGATCTGCAAGAGCTACGAAGATGCCACTAAAATCACAGTGAGGTCTAACAACAGAGAGGTTGCGAAGAGGAATATCTACTTAATGGACACATCCGGGAAGGTGGTGACTGCTACGCTGTGGGGGGAAGATGCTGATAAATTTGATGGTTCTAGGCAGCCCGTATTGGCTATCAAAGGAGCCAGAGTCTCTGATTTCGGTGGACGGAGCCTCTCCGTGCTGTCTTCAAGCACTATCATTGCGAATCCTGACATCCCGGAGGCCTATAAGCTTCGTGGTTGGTTTGACGCAGAAGGACAAGCCTTAGACGGTGTTTCCATCTCTGATCTAAAGAGCGGCAGTGTTGGAGGGGGCAACACCAACTGGAAAACCTTGTACGAGGTCAAATTCGAGAACCTGGGCCAAGGCAACAAGCCGGACTACTTCAGTTCTGTGGCCACAGTGGTGTATCCTCGCAAAGAGAACTGCATGTACCAAGCCTGCCCGACTCAGGACTGCAATAAGAAAGTGATTGATCAACAGAACGGATTGTACCGCTGTGAGAAGTGCGACACCGAATTTCCCAATTTCAAGTACCACATGATCCTGTCAGTAAATATTGCAGATTTTCAAGAGAATCAGTGGGTGACTTGTTTCCAGGAGTCTGCTGAAGCTATCCTTGGACAAAATGCTGCTTATCTTGGGGATTTAAAAGATAAGAATGAACAGGCATTTGAAGAAGTTTTCCAGAATGCCAACTTCCGATCTTTCATATTCAGAGTCAGGGTCAAAGTAGAGACCTACAACGAAGAGTCTCGAATTAAGGCCACTGTGATGGACGTGAAGTCGGTGGACTACAGAGAGTACAGCCGAAGGCTGGTCCTGAGCATCAGGAGAAGCGCGTCGATGTGAGGAGAGCAGTGCCGATTGGGCAGAAGTTTGCAAATAAAGAGCCAGAATAGAATCGATTTCCTCCCACCTCTGTGTGACGATCCCATGTTGGCTACTCAGCACAGAGGCTCTCTATGCTGGACTAAGCAATTTCCTCTCTTGTGTACATCTCAGAACCCATCAGTAGGCAAAGGAAAATATGTGCGGGTGGCTGTGGTGTAGACCGTGTCAGGCCTAGGGAGTCAGCCAGTGGTTAGTGTAAGACCAGTCACTCCCTCTGCCTTCAGGCTTTTGTAAATTTCATTATCATCAAGCAGGAATTATGTCATAAGTCACTGACCCTAACTGCAGACCATGAAGTAAATTATGTAACAAGGTTTTTCCTGCTCCAGCAGTGACCCCCCAACCTCACAACTTGGGTTCTTCTCAGCAGGGAGAGCTGAGAAGCGTTTGTGGGCACCTGGGTATTTTAGTAACTGTGTCTTCCTAGAATTCAAAGGCTCTTTCTTTCTAGAGGTGCTACATAGTTGTTAATGCTTGGAATGGCAATAGGGTAGAATTATTAATCAAAGGCATCTCTTTTATATCTGAAGAGTATCCTTCCTACAGGGTTTAATAGACTGAGTCAGATGGGTCTGATATTAATCAAAATTGTCTCTTCTGAGGACTGCTGATAAGCATTAACTTGCTGTCCCCTAGGGAAATCCAAGCGACTACAAAGCGTTTCTTTAGTTTTCATTTCAATTAATGTTGCATTTCGCTTGGTGAATGCATACTTTTTCTACCTGTACATATTCCTGGCATTCGTATATTTTGTTTTTTTGACTAAAGCTACGTTACATGGAAAGGATTTTGAAGCCTTTTGTTTCCCTTGCTTTGTTTTAATAAACAGTAAATACTTTGCTTGTGAAAAAAAAAAAGGAAACTGAATAATCTGATCCTGAATGAATAATGGGTCAATGAAGAAGCTAAGAAGGAAATTTAAAAATCTGTTGAAACAAATGACGATGGAAACACAACATACCAAAACCGATGGGATACAGCAAAAGCAGTACTCAGAAAGAGGTTTATAGCCATAAGTGCCTACAACAAAACAGGTAAAAACTTCAAATAAACAATCTAATGATGCATCTTAAAGAGCTGCAAAGAAAGAGCAAACCAAATCAAAAATTAGAAGAAAAGAAATAATGAAGATCCCAGCAGAAATAAATGAAATTGAAATGAAAAAAACCACACAAAAGATCAATAACACAAAAAGTTGTTTTTAATAAGTTAACCCAAATTTACAAACCATTAGCCAAGCTAAGAAAAAAAGAGAGAAACCCAAATAAATAAAATCCGAAATGAAAAAGGATTTGGGAGGCTGAGGCAGGTGGATCACTTGAGGCCGGGACCTCAAGACCAACCTGGCCAATATGGCAAACTGCATCTCTACTAAAAATAAAAATAATTAACCAGGTATGGTGGTAGGCACCTGTAATCCCACCTACTAGGGTGGCTGAGGCAGGAGAATTGCTTGAACCCTGGAGGTGGAGGTTCTAGTGAGCTGAGACTCTGCTATTACACTCCAGCATGAGGACAAAAGGAGACTCTGTCTAGAGGAAAAAAAAAAAAAGAAAGAAAAGAAAAAAGAAAAAAATGAAAAGGAAATGAAAAACAAGATGTTACAAAACTGATGCTGCAAAAATTCAAAAGATCATAACTGGCTCCTATGAGAAACTCCATACCTATAAATTGGAAAATCTAGAAAAAATGGACTAATTCCTAGCTACCTACAACCTCTCAAGACTGAACCAGGAAGAAATCCATAACCTGAACAGACCAATAACAAGCAACAAGATCAAAGCCATAATAAAAGTCTTCCAGTAAAGAAACGCCTGGACCTGATGGCTTCACTACTGAATTCTACCCAACGTTTAAAGAAGGAATAATACCAATCCTACTCAAACAACTTTGAAAAACAGAAGAGGAGGGAATACTTCTAAACTCATTCTATGAGGCCAGTATTACCCTGATACCAAAACCAGACAAAGACACATCAAAAAAAGAAAACTATAGGGCAAAACCGCTGATGAATATTGATGCAGAAATCCTCAACACAATACTAACAAACCAAATTCAACAATACGTTAGAAAGAATCATCATCATGACCAAGTGAGATTTATCCCTGGGATGGAAGGATGGTTTAACATATGCAAATTAATGTATGTGATAAATCGTATCAATGGAATGATAAAAACCATATAATCATTTCAATTGATGCTGAAAAGCATTTAATAAATCTCAGTGTGTCATCATGATACAAACGCTCAAAACACCAGGGAAAGAAGGAACATACTTCATTGTAATAAAAGTCATATACCACAGATCCACAGCTAGTATTGAAGTGCCTCATTGTCTGGGGTAACACCCAGAGTTCTTGGACTCACAGCCAAGGAAATCAAGGACATGGGCACACCAAGAGTGAGGTGTAGAGCAGAAAGTTAATAGGAGAAACAAAGAGAACAGCTTTCTACTGCAGAGAGGGGTCCCAGAAAAAAACAGTTGCCATCCTGCAATGAAATACAGGGGTTTTTATAGATGAGCTAGTGGGGAGGCTGTATCTGACCAACCACATAGGGTACAAACAACCGGTTAGGACCAGGTGTACCATCTGCATAGGGTGTGAATCTCTGGCAGCCCCCACCCTAATCTTTTATTATGCAGGCGGGTCCTCAGCCTGGGCTACTCCATGTTGCTCATTTCCTTCTTACCATGCATGTGCTAAAAAAGGGGAGGTGGAAAGCCCATGGTGAACATGCCTGGCCCCACGTGGCCTTTTCTCTCTGTGCAGCTGTTGGCATCCCACTATGAAAGCTTCCAGCTTTCTATCTATCTATGATAGAAAATCAATGTACCAACATTTTATCTCCATGTACCATCTCAAACACAGGATTTAAACGTTCAAAAAAGATTCAATTCTCAGGACTATTAAAAGATCCAGAAACAAATTTAACAAAAACGTGCAAGGATTCTTTGCAGAAAACTGAAAAACTTTAATAAAAGAATGTTATCAGTCAAATATCCAGCATAACAATAACATTCTTCGTTTCAGTCTTCATTTTTCTTGGTGTACACCTATGGTTGCGCATCACCTGTAACATAAATATAAAATTAGGACCCGTTATCAGATTTTTATTCATATGACACTAGCGGTATACAACTACCGTGTTGATGAACTAATATCAGAACCCTGAGGGTGACCCTTCAGCCTACAACCAGATAGCCTCTGAATAAACTCTGAAGGTAGACTTCCAGGCATATTAACAATATTTTTAATTCATGCCACTTTTTCTAGTAGAATAAGAAAACAAAGAGACTGTTCAACTTCAGAATGAATTCAATCAAGTGAATCTATTTGTATGTATAAGTGGAAAGCAAAAAAAAAAGAAAAAAAAAAGCATATACATTCAATGAAAATTCAACGAAACAAAATCCAAAGGGAAAAAGATATTTTTAAAGTATCATTTAAACATTTTGATATGAAATAACACTCTGAACACAGAATATATTTAGAACTCCCTAAGTGAAGGAAATAGAAAAGTCAGTATTACATTTGTTTTGTGTCTCTTGTGAAAAAGTGTAAAAACGTTACTTTGGACTAGTTTAGCCATTATGCAGTTGCTTTAAGTAGGGTGAACATTTGTCACTATTTTCACCAGTACTCCTGCCTCTTTACATGCCTAAAAGCAGTTCAGTTTATACAGTAAACTGAATACCCACGCCAGCTGTAAGTCATTACCATCACAGTTAACATCACAAAACAAACTGATGCTTATTATAAACATGTTACATATTTGTTAAAAACAGGCCTCTATAAAAATATCTGCAAATTATTGGCTGTTGGTTAAATGACTTTACATTCAAAAGTCACAACATGTTTTCATATCTTTTTTTAAAAATGACACATAAAATCGAATATATTTATCACATATAACATGATGCTTTAAAATATATATTCACATTGTGAAATGGCTACATCAAGCTAATTAGTATCTGCATTACTTCAAATAGCTGTGAAGACACTCGATATCTACTCTCTTAGCATGTTTCATGAATCTTTCATATCATAATCCAATTAACTTTGACCCAATTTTTCTCCATCTCTTGAAGTCCTGGCCTCAAGTGATCCTTCTGCCTCGGCCTCCCAAAGTGCTGGAATTAAAACCATGAGCCAGCACACCTGGCGCTCTATCTCTAATAGTGTGTAAGGCAGCCATTTGGGGTGTGAACTACCTTCAAAGAATCTTTAGACGTGAAGTAAGATATTAAAGTAGCACTAATTTTACCTCTGTGTCACAAAAATATAATATTGTGAAAATAGACACCCTATAGTTAGCATCTTAATTGAACAACATACCTGCTTCCAGCACTTTAGTGGGATCAAAAGTGGGCAGAGTCCCCTCCCTGACATCAGGACCATCTCCAGGCTCATCCTCTATCTTAAGCAGAGCCAGTGCCTGTTGAAAAGCTTCCACATCAGGCCCTTAAAAGATAAAAAGGTCATCAGTTTACAAATTAAAACATGAACTATGAACGAGGAAATGATAATGTTTATTCCCTCATCATTATGAAATAAAAACCTGTAGGCTAATTATTTCAGGAGTCTGTTGCCAGGAAAACAGGAAAGCAGAGATGTTCAAACATCACCCTCTCCTTTCCCAAGGCTGGCCCTAGACAACTTACTTGCCCCTTTTGTACTCATTTGTTCTTATTCTTATCACATTAAATCAGTGATTTGTTTGAGTCCGTCTGACTAGACTATGAGCTTTAGGCTACAGTTTGGCACTGACGTTTCCAGCACTTAGTAACATAGCATGAGGAAGCATTAATAAATGTGTATTAAAAAGTTTCTTAAAAAGTACATGAGATGTCCGCAGATTTCAGACTAGGAAGCTACAAGGAGCCGTTCTTCCACAGAAACATAAAATACAAACAAACCAAAAAACAGAAAATGGCTGAACAAACCATACAGGAGCTCTGGAAAACACTCACAGGCTTATGACAACCATGCAAGTACCCAATCAATAAAAAGCCTCTGTCAAAATGGTAGGAAAGTTTTGTGGCTTTTTATGTGTCCTTGTCCCACCCCTCCCCACAGCAGCAGCAGGAAACGTTTAAGATTCCTTCCTAATGTTTTCTGGCCTCCTGTTACTGGTATGTCATAAAATATAATGCATAAATATACCTCCACCACCCACAAGCATTATTCTCCACTCTCCCTTCACCTTGAACAGCAGGTGCTCCTTCATTTTCGATCTCCCCACTAGGTGCAATACCCTGATTTTCAGTTGGTGCTTCCTCTTCTTGACGTTTTTCCTCAGCGGGCTGCTGGACCTAAGGGTGTAAGTGTGTGTGCGAATAAAAACTCAATAATATAAATACACAAATGCATATGTGCATCGAATCATAAATCTAAAGATATTCTTCCAACAGACGTATATATGTGTATATATACATATATCTATATATATGTATATATAGGGAGAAATATCCATATCCATACAGGTAACACCAGAATATAATATTTCTGAAACAAAGTTTCCTTCATGAGATGCAATCATCATTTTTTTATCAGCATGGAACCCCTGGAACAGTGCATGTACACTAGCTCAAATATATTTTGTAAAATAAATTGTGTTAATAGAAAACATCAAATGTTAAAGGACTCACAATCACAGATTCAACCGGTTGGGAAGACTCTTGGTCATTTCCTCTTTCTGAGGATTGGGATCTTGTTCTTACATGCTCATATTTCCCACTGAAAACAGAATATTGTTATTTGGAACAAGTGTGTAAGAACGTAGCTATATATATGAACATTCCATGGCAAAATGGTGATTTATACTTTTAAAATTTTGAATTTATCTTAATTTTGAAAATATTTTCAAACTAATTCACAGAGCAATGATAAGTACTCATGCTTTCCAATCAAACTAAGGACAGATTTGTTTGTATCACAGTTGAAGAGGCACAGAAATCACCTTAACACCACAGCAAAAGACAGAAGACATTCCTGAGTTTTGGTTTCACAATCAGACTCTCCATCATGAAGACGTTTAGGAAAAAATGGGCAGAGAATTGAAACTGAAATGACTACTGCTTTCGTCCCATTCTGATTTGCTAGGCCCATTTCACCCCCACACCCTTCCCAAAATCAAGTCTTGCTGGAAAGCACAGCCTCACCCATTCCTTCCCATGACGTTCACAGCGGAGGTGAGAAACTGTGAAACAGAGTAAACGTTATGCTCCTCACGGGACACCTCTGCCAGGCACTCTACAGACCTCAGGGCCGCAGTCACCAGCCCACAGCGTTCCCAGTTCCCAGGCTCCTTCCTTACCGAACACGCTGTCCCTTTCCGCGCCCCTACCTAGGAGTCCAGAAACTGTCCTGTCTCAGAGGGTTCCAGGAGTTTCCGGGACTCAGACACCTCTAACAGCACCCGCAGCACTCGCCCCATCTTCACGTGATCCCTCCCCTCTGTGGCCCACGTTCCTCCCTCGTTCCAGCCGAGCCACAAAGACAAGTCCCATGGTGGCATGGCGACCTAGGAGGAGCTGGACGATGACTGCAAGGCCCTTTTCCCTCAGAAGCCACGGACTGTGCTGCAGGACCTGTCCTAACGCTGGCTCCTCCACACATTCACTCACAACTAAATTCTCAGGAAGACCGCTCTGCGGACCTACCGGCTGCGTCTCAATCAGTGAGAAAGAATCAAGATGGCGGAAAGAATGAAGACACAACCTCTGCCTGCAGAGCTCTGCGTGGACAGAAGGTGGGCAGCAAGGCGCATACGCAACAACAGACACGCCTAGCAACAGACATGCGCAGCAACAGGTCTGTGCAACATGCGCACTGAGGAGGGCATTCGCCTCCAGACTGAAGTTTTCCTGCCTCTGTGGAGAACCTAAACCAGCAGTGCTCCTAACATTGAAAATGAATTGCAAAGCACTTTTCTTTTTCCCCCCCCCAATCTTTCTTTCCCTTCCAGTGGCTTTGGAGAATATGAGCCCCAGCTTACTCTAATAATGTGTTTCAGAAAAATTCACCATCACAGAAATAAATCTTAAATATTTTAATCCCCGTTTTATATACGCTTCCAGAAATCATTTTCTTGCCTCCTTCACGAGTTTGCTGTCATGCTTGCAGTGGTCTTACCCACTCCAATACGATAAGACATTCATAGTTCTTGGTTGCATTATTGTACGTTCAAAATCATTGATCCAGCTGGACAACATTAAAGTGGTGGGAACTCAACCTGAGTTGTTGAATCCCTGTTTCACCCACTGTTTTGAAATGGCTCTTTTATCATCACCTACATCCCCACTCAATTTTGTATGTAACTCCCTTCTTTTAATTTTCTTCCATTGAGTTGTTTATACTTGTACCACTACTGCAGTATTTTAATTGCTGTAGCTTAATGCTAGTTGAAATGTGAAGTAATGCTTGCCCTCCCTCACTGATTTCTCCTTTTCTATCAATTCTGACACGTTGGTCTTTCAGATGAACTGCAGAATCATTTGATCAGGTGCTAAAATATTCCTGTTGAGATACTAGTTACTATTTTTATATTACATGTTAACTCTGGGACAATAGCCATCTATTT